CTAGAAAGTGTATAATAGCGCGCAAGTATAACGTATATACTAGTCTAAACCTCTATTAACTTCTAGGTCTTGCAGATCTTTATAGAATAACTTTTCTTCTTTACTAGTGTCTTCTCTATATTAGTGTTATTGCTATCTAGCTCTGTAGAGCGCTTCTTAGAGGCCTAAGCTAACTTTACTTTTAACGTCTTTACTACCTTTCTATTTACTTATAGTATTAAGTAGTTATTAATATTAATAGTAGAAGCTAAGAATAATTAGTAGAAGTTCTGTCTAAAGATTAGAAAAGATAAAAGTATATACTAAAGTAACTTTCTAAAGTGTTGCGCGTATTAATCTAGCTCTACAGCGCCTTTACTTAGACGTTACTAATATTTAGCGCCTATAGAATAGAATCTATTAGCTATATTTCTTATATATTCTAAGGTTTCGCTACTAAAAGGTCTAATATACCTTCTTAACTATAAATTTACTAAAGTGTATCTTAAATATAGTAAGAATTATAAGCGCATGCTTACTAAAGAACTAGGTTAGCTTAATTAGCTTATTATTATAGTAGTAGAGTTTAGCTATCTTCTAGATATTCTATTAGCAAAGCTAGAGAATAACTAGTATTTAGAGTAGTATACTGCGTAAAGCTCTTGCTTTACATAGATAGCTTTAAGAAAGGTAGTAGTAAAGAGATAGCTATAAGAGTAGACTATATATAGCTTAGTGCTATTAGAAGCATTCTTCTTAGAGAGCATAGACTAATATTATTAGTAGAAGTAGTAGAATTTCTAAGATTTCTAGAAGAAATAAGCTATACGTACACTACCTATTTTCTTATAGAATAAGTATTATAGAGTCTTTCTATTATAGTTATAAAATATAATTCTACGTAGTAGTATAGTTAGTAAAGTCTAGACGTAGATACTAGAAAGACTAAGATCTTAGAATAGAGAGCTAAAGAGATATTAGAAAGAAGAAGAAGTAGAGCTAAGCGTACTAGAAGAATAGAATAGAAAAGAAGTAATAGTAGAAGAAAAAGAATAGAAGAATAGAGCTCTACTTATATAACTTTGTTCTCTATACTATATTTTACCTAGTAGATATTAGTAGTTACTAGAAAAGAATAAGATTTTAAATTAGAAGTCTAGAAATATATATTCTTACTCTTTTTTTTAGGTTATAGCTTAGTCTATTAATTCTTAAATAGAGTATAAAGAGGTCTAACTCTAGCGCAGCTTTTTATTTTGTACTACTCTCTTTTGCGCTAATATAGCTTATTACGCTTCTTTACTCTTTTATAAAAAGTTTGCAGAATAATCTTAGAAGAGATAGAGAATAGAGATAAAGTATTACTTTTATTACTGTAGTTATCTATTAGATTAATAAGACCTTTAGAAATAGAGTAGTTATCTTTATTATTGCTATTAATACGCTTAAGTACCTTTTTATCTTCTTATACAACCTTAATATCGCTAGTCTTAATAGTATCTAGAACGCTCTTACTAGTTTTAAGCGTAGCATTATTATTTTTACTAAAGTTATTTATAGTAGTATTAGTACTATTACTACTTAAGCTAAACGCGCTTAAAATCTTAATAGCTAAAGTAGTAGCTAGTTAGATAGTAAAGTAGTTTATAATATAGCTATAGATTCTAGTAGAGGTTCTACTAGAAGCAAAGCTAAGTCTAGAAAGTAAAGTAGTTAGTATAGAGTAAGAAAGAAGCTAAAAAAGAAAGAGTAAAGCTTATAAAGTATAAAGTTTAAAGTAAAAAGTAAGTAAGTAGGTAGTAGAATATAGTATATAAACTAAAAATTAGAAGCTAACTCTACGCTACTTAAGGCAGCTACTAAGAAGGTAAGAGAGAAAGCTTATAGATTTAGAGGTTATAGCTAAGAGTAGAGATATTATACTAAACTCTAAGGTAGAGAATAAGAATATAATTAGAATTAATAAGCTTTAAAATAAAAAACTAGAGAAAAAGTAAGAAAGAACTTATAGATTATTACTAGCCTATTAACTACTAAATTATAGTAGTATAGGCAAAGAAGTAGAGAATTAGAGAGTAGGCTTTAGAGTAGAAAGTTAGTATAGATATAGCTTATTTAGATAAAACCTTATAACTTATAAGACTAGTATAGTTAACGTAGAACTAGTTTTAAGCTATAAAAGTAGAGTAGTAGACACAAAAAAAATAGAATAAATAGTAGAGAGTCTTATTACGCGCAAATTTAATTAACTTAGCTAAAGCTATAGTTATAGGTAGTAGTTATTATAATAGTTGTAATTATCTAAAAGACTACTTCTTCTAGGTAGATAGCCTAAGCTCTACTAGTACGTAAATTAAGCTAATAAGCAATAATTAGTAAATACAAGGATTTTGCCGCGCGCGGTGAAACTTTACCCTTTATCTCTAAGCCTTGTCGTCCCGGGCTCGAGGACCCTCAGCCTCAGGCTAATTCATCTCATCCGATCTACCGGATGAACCGCTAGACAGCTCTCCCGCGATCGGATGGCGCGGTGCAAGATGCAGGGAGCGGGTATCCTTGAGCAACTTCACAAACTAGCATCTGATCCCGGAATATGCTCCATCGCACTAGGATTATGTCCAAGAGTTGTGATTCGTCATCGGAACTTTTTGCCGCAGTCTTGAGTCCAGGGACCACAGGGGACCACAGTGGGCTGGAATACGTTAGCAGCAAGGGTCAAACTGGGGACGCTCTAGATCTAAAGTGTGGCCGATCGCTTCTAGGTATTACTTGCACATGCCAGGAGCTTCTTCTTTTTTTCGGGCCTCGCAATGTTAGGAAACCCCACTCCTTGCACCCGGCGGCGAAGTCGGGCATGTGTCACGCAGCAGCTCGGGCAAAGTTACTACAAGTCATGTAAACTGTCCATGATCTCCGCCTGACCACCAGAACCAACACCCTATTTGACACAGATCAACGACATTTTGACTACTAATTCGCCGACAGATCACCTTTGGAGAAAAAAAGGAATTTTCTGGAACATGACTTTTGGGCATGAAGTGCTGTGGCTAGGGTTCGGCAGTAATACGCGTAAGACCCCCAAGTTCTTCCCTGCTTGCCTTGGTGGCAAACCAGAGGAAGTGTCGCGAGCTTCATGTCGCTCCTTGTGGGAATGTTCGCCACTTGCGTTAAGCTAAAAAAGAAGCCTTCCTCCTCGCTGTACTGGCCTCCGCGGAGCGAGACACTCACACACAAACGACATACCAGTGAGGGTTATAAATTAACAATGCGGTCTAGCCGCGCATCGCGTTTTTCCAGATACCCCTCTCACTTGCGCCAGATTCCCATGTTCACGACATCGTGAAACCCTCTTTTCCATCCCTCGACTTTGGTGTCTGCGTTTCTTTCTGGGGAGAGACTGTTCGTCTCCTCCTCTGGTTTTTGTTTTCTTTTCGCGGCTTGAATTTTACTCCCTTGTCTTTTAATTGTACTGCGATCATTGTTGCGCTGCGTTCCTATTCTGCTACCAGGCGTCTTGTCGTCTGCAATGGCGCCTGACTCGCACAGCGCCCACATGGCCGATGGCAACCACATGTGTGCCAACTGCGCGCGCAGCAAAGATGGACCTACACCCACTCAACGGTCGTACGACAACGACAACAACAACAACGTTCACGACGGCGATTCCTACATCCAGCAAAGCATCGAACAACCCAACCCACCCATGGCCAACATGGTCAATTCCTCCCACTCCGGTCCCTACAGAATCTACATCGTGACCGATACCTGCTACCCCACGGCCGATAGCTTTCAGAACAACGTCGGTACCACGCACATCACATCTGTGCATTCCACAAAAGCGGCAGCCAACAGTCGAGCCAAGAAGATCATCTACGAGAACGACGGCGAGTGTACAGTCGATCTCGACAAGATTATCGAGGAGGTGAAGAAAGGATTATATATTGGGATAGGGGTTGGTGGCAAGGACGAAAAGAGTGGCAGCTGCTTTGCGCGAAAGTGTGAGGTGGAAGGCAAGATTGTGGACGAAGACAGCGATAGCGAGGAAACAAGCGGCGAGAGTGGCGAAAGCGATCTTGTGGATGGCATGGGGGAGGCAGACGGCGATGTGGACATGGGCTGATGAGGAGAACACAACGACACAAACAGCGAACCCAGGAAGCCGCGGCAAACATGGGTAGCGGTCAGGATCTGCTGTCGACACATACGGAGGCGTGGAATTAGAGTCAAGAACGGCTCGGGAAGCGAAGGAAATACAAAACCGCCGGGGTGCTGCAACGACCGTAACAGGCGTTCGAGGTATGGATATTCAAGACCATCCCAGGACGCGGGCCGAGAACTCCCTTGGGTTCCGGTTTGGAAAAAAGGAAATGGACGAAAGAGCAGCCCCCAATCTCTGGACAGACACCTCCGGCACATCGAACTATCTATCTTGCGCGCTCGTGGTGAAACACGGCGTTTGCGAATCGCATAGACACATTAACGGTACACAAAACAAACGAACTGTATATCAGTTCGTAGGAGGGGAGGGCGATCCGGCACCTGGTTGGCTGGACGAGCATGCAGACAATTAATGTATTGTAGTCTCCACTATCAATCGCAATTGGCAAGAATGGCTTCAATTCGTACCCCCCGAGTATCGCGAATGTAGGTGCTTACTTGACCAGGTCGAAGTATCCGCAAGCTTCTGATGCTTGCGCTACGCCTGACTGACTCAAAGCCTGGGACAGCTCTCACTGGCCGTGTTCGTCTTCGAGGCGTCGGTTACGAGAAATGCTTTTCCAAGTAATAGATCCAAGGCGCGTCGAATGCGTCTATGTCTAGCAAAGGCTCTTGTGAGCCTGATACGGACTCGATTATGTCTGGCGGAGCTACGGGCGTGTTCGTCGGCGTTTCTTCTGTATCTAGCAGGTCCTGCTGTTCATCTGGCGGAGCGACTAGTGTCTTGGCTGAGGCCCGTTGTGCGTCTGACAGTGTCTTTTGTGCGTGTTTGGGAACTTCCGGTGGAGCATGAGAATTTGAAGTTAGAGCATCTCGTTGTCGACAACAGGCGTGTTCGCAGGTTGAGCGTGTTGAATGTCTGGTTGCGTTATGCCATTTGCGGACGGCCAAGGGCCAACCCCTTTGAATATGACTTCTTGGAAACCCCGCTCGTCGTTATGATACTCCATGTCCAGCGTTCCACAGAGGTTCATCAGGACGATAGATAGCTCTTCCCCGAAGCTTGTCGAGAGTACCGTCCGCTTTCCTCCAAGGTCTACTATGTCCTGTGGGTTATCCCCTTCTTCCATCTCTTCTACTTGATCGTTCTCAACTTTGGATATCGTGTATTGTCGTGTTGGCTGGTCCGGCACGTAATGCGTGCAGATGAGCTTGCCTCCCAACTTGTATAACCAGAATCGAAACCCCGGAAACGCTACGATGACGCGCATGTTGGTTGTAGGTCTTGGAAGGGTTGATAACCGCTGGTTTGCGAGCGAAGCGTATTGATAAAGGTCGGGTTGATAATGTTGATCGTGTTAGCAGCAGGAAGTGCAGAAGTTGCGAAACCAGGTAGGATGAATACGGAAAGATATGATGCTCATGTCATAGGGAAGCGGCTCATGAGTATATGGCGGCCTTCACGAAGGAAGTGAGTAAGGGTAAGCTAGTCTTTTGTAGAGAAAGTGCACCTCGATCAATCCTTTCAGGCAAGTGACATCGTGAGTATTGGTAGCCATGGTTTTTCTTTCTCGGGTCGGAGTGCAGAAGGTAGACAATGTTACCCTCTGGGGTCTGTCATTATTTGGACGAAGAGTCGCACCAAGCACTGTTCGGACGATACTATGTCAGCTCGGCCATGGGACGTGTGGTGGCCGCGACCTGGCGCACATCAACGGGGTCGATCAACGACCGTTTCGATCATCCAATTCCAAGGCTCAAGCATGTCGTTAGATCTAAGGTAGCGGATGTTGAAGTTAGTAGCGAAGGCGAGATGGATAAACAATGTTGTGAATGCTGAGTGTGGCTGAACGGTCGGCTGGTTGTTGCCAAGAAACGGTGCATCCCCACCAGTCGTTTCCCCACACGCGCAGCGCGCGCCCGCACGTCATCGAGCGCTTGAAGCAAGAACAGTACCACTACACAACATGTGCGTTCCCTCCACGATGCCGTACACACCATCTACAACTTTGCGATATGTCTGCCGGATACTTTCCAAAGCGGGAGAAGGTTGGTCTTGAGGACCTCTTCAAAGGCCTAGTCACTGCCTGTCACATCCTCAACCACAATGGTAAGTTCTGGTGTCCGGAATGCACGTGAAACATACACTGACTTCGTGCGTCCATCGTTTTAGGCATCTTCGATGCGTATGGCCATATTTCCGTCCGGTCGCCCGACAACCCCGCGACGTTCTGGATGCCTTGCAATATGCCGCCAGCGTTGGTCAGCTCGCAGGACGATCTGGTCGAATACAACGTCGATGGCGCCGAAGCGGTCGAGAAGGACGTGAAGCCAGGTTATCTAGAGCGGCACATCCACAGCGAGATATACAAGAGGTTTCCGGCCATCAACAGTGTGGTGCATAGCCATGCTGGCGATGTTCTGCCGTACTGCGTTAGCGGTGTGCCTCTAAAGAACACAATACACATGGCTGGCTTCTTGGGTATGTATCCTAGGTCATCATTTCTAGCTTCTTGCTAATAATGTCACTGCAGGTACCAATGTGCCAGTCTGGGATGCCTCGAGCAGCTACCCCTCCGGTTCGAAACACGACCTGCTCGTTCGCGACAGCACGCTCGGCGCCTCTCTTGCAGCTGCGTTCAAACCAGCCACTTCGACCGGCTTCATCTACTCCAAAGTACGCTCCGCTCTACCCTCGCAGCTCGGTGGTTCATCTGCAGAGCCAGAGATGGAACCCGATCACGCTGTCGTCCTGCTACAAGGCCATGGCTTCACAACCGTCGCGCATGGCATCGAGGAAGCTGTCTATCAAGCAATATATACGAAGGAGGCAGCCAAGGCGCAGACTACCGCTATGACGGTTCTGAATGCGCACACAGGCTATGCACTCGAGGGCAAGGTCGATGTCGAAGCCGGTGGCAAAATCAAGTCGGGACATGCGAAGGTTGAGGGCGGCAATCTAAAGTATCTGAGCGACAGGGAATGCCATGATGCCTGGGAGTCACTATCAGGCACTTTGACCAGACCCTGGGCGCTCTGGTGCCGACAAGTGGAAGTTGACCCGTTGTATAGGAATGAGTGCTCAGGCGGCGATGATTGAGCGATGATGGATCGACCAAATTGTATGACTGCTTTTGACAGACAGAATCGCAGTTAGTAATACTTCTTCCTTCTTTTCTGTTATTCCCGAGTGCCTCGTCTCCTGTGGAGGCTAGGCTCTCCGCAAATCTTATCCAGTAGAGTCTTAGCCCTTCCAATTCGTGGGCAATTTGCCGCGACACTCTCCTCTTATAACATTTCCATGTTAACATGGAACCTCTTTTCCACGCTTCTAGCCGGTATTTCTGACGTTTCTTACAATGTAGCTAGCAGGGTACTTCTCGCAGCTGCGCCAAGTTGTTCCATAGTGCTTGTCTCACAGGCCAAGATCTTCCGCCACTAAAGGCGCATCTTACCCCGGACTCCCCCTCACGGCACTTTTAGCTCTTAGATCAACACCACCGCACGACATTTTCGATCCGGATGAACGATCACTTCCATACCGAGGTACATGTACCTAAGCTCGAATACTATCTGTAATCAGCATTCCTCCCGCCCTCCCGACTTCATAACTTAGTGAAGCAAGATGTCAGATGACTGCAAAGGTGGCTGCGCTTGGGTAACAGTCGTGGAAAGCATCTGGCTAGTGGATGTCCTGGGTGGAAATTGTTGATGTTTCGGTGCATTTGGCGCCGAGAGTGTTCGCGCAATGTAGTAAGCTCCTGCTGCTGATATGGAAGAGAAGCCTATAGGTAAGGGATAGAGCCGCCGTTCAATATCGAAGCCGGACAAGTCACTTCAGATTCACCCCATCTATATTCTCGTCAGCTACGTTTCTTGACATGTTACTGAAGAGCGCATTGTTGGCTGCGGCCACATATTCTTCCTCGGTCCTGGCGGCATTCGGCGCTACTAAAAGCGGTGACAACATTGTTGTGGACGCTGGCTCGACGAACGCCCTTGTCTTTACCGTCAACGCGAAGAGCTGCGACATTACATCGATCAAATATCGTGGAGAGGAGTTGCAGTCGTCGTCCAAGGGATCGCATATTTCTTCTGGACTGGGTAGTGCAACTGTCAAGTATGAGACGATAAGCAGTTCGTTGTATCCTCAATCCTTCGACGACAGAATCTAACGGAGTCCGACAGGCCAATATGTTAAGGTTACTTGCACGACTAGTACATTGACGCATTACCTTGTTGCTAAGGCTGGCGAAGCGACGATTTATATGGCGACATACACCACTGCCGAGCCTAGCATTGGCGAACTGCGATTCATCGCGCGTCTCAAGAGTAGTGCTCTGCCGCTTGAGTACCCATTCGGCGTGGTATCGACCACCGTTGGTTCGACGTCGACTGTTGAGGGGTCAGACGTCTTCGTGGTCGCTGGTCAGACGAGGAGTAAATTCTACTCAAGTGAGCGCTTCATCGACGACACTACGGTAGGTACCACAGTCAGCATGCTTCAATGAGCCTTCACTGACACAACACAGAATTGCGTCTACCGAGACGGTGCCGACGCAGTCCACGCATGCTTCCTCATGAACTCATATTCTTACGAAGGCTCCTCTGGTGGTCCCTTCCACCGCGATATTAACACTAATAACGGAGGAGAATACACGTCATTGACCTTCTACATGAACAGTGGCCATGTTCAAACAGAGAAGTTCCGCCAGGGTCTGCACGGCCCCTACGCTCTAGCGTTCAGTCGCTCTGGTGTGCCAGCAGGTGGCTCCAATATGGACACAACCTTCTTCAAGGACCTTGGCATAACGGGCTACGTGGCGCCATACGCCAGGGGAACAGTCACCGGCACGGCGACAGGTGTAGGCTCCAGTTTCCAACGGGTATTGCATTGGTACAACGATGCAGCCCAGTACTGGGCGTACGCCGATAGTAGTGGCAAGTTCACCTCGCCAGCAATGAAGCCCGGAAACTACGCGCAGGTCTTATATCAAGGTGAATTCAAGGTCAAGGCAGCTAGCGTCACAGTCTCGGCTGGAAAAGCGACTACCGCCAACATTGCCGCCGACACCGAAACCAAGACCTCCATTTGGCGCATTGGCGAGTGGGATGGTCAGCCAAAGGGCTTCCGAAACGCAGACAAGCAACTGCGCATGCACCCCACAGACTCGCGCATGGCATCCTGGGGGCCCTTGACGTATACAGTTGGTTCCAGCACTCTTGACAGTGTTCCCATGGCCATAGTCAAGGACACCAATCCCCTTACGATCAAGTTCTCGAGCACCTCGACTGCAGCAGCGACCCTTCGCATCGGTACTACGCTCTCTTTCGCCGGCTGCCGTCCCTCGGTGACAGTCAACAGCTTTAATGCTGCCGTCCCTGCGGCACCAACGAAGATCGATTCGCGTGGCTTGACTCGCGGCGCCTACCGAGGGTTTGGTGAAGTCTACAATTATGCCATACCAGCTGGCACGTTGGTCAGCGGGAGCAATACCATCAAGATCAACTGTGCGAGTGGGAGTTCGGGAGAAGGATTCCTGGCCCCGAACGTGATTTTGGATGCGATAGAGTTGTTCAAGTAGGCTCTCGGGCACAACGGCCTGATTCGGTCATAGTGCCATGGTCTATCGATAGTTGTGTGGATGACGTGTCGTCTTAACATCGTAAGATTGGTCTTCTTACACATTCTTACTTGTACCACTTCTTTTCTTCATCATCGCATGTTACCGATATATGCATCTTGGATCAAAAACGTTTTACTGTGCCTCGGTTTCCTTTAGGCCGAGATGCTTTTCGTAGGAATCGAACGAAACTCCTTATTAATCATCCGAGAAGGCTTGTGGGGCAATGCCTGGGAAGGTCATTTTTATAATCCTTCGCATCAACAAAACATCATTGAAAACGACTCGCCAGGCTAGGTTCCGACGCGATGGACGCAGTATTCACCGTATCATCGCACGAGCAAGGATGAGGCTGTCGGCTCCACCGAGAGCTGTGCAGCTTGTAGTCGTATGTCCTTTCCGCGTACACGGTCGAAGTGTCTTCTTCTGGCAATTTAAAGTCTTGATAGGGCAGGTATCCGTTAGCCAATTCCCACGAGTCAGTCACCGGATCAACGCAGCACGCAGTGTCAGCAAAGCTTTGAGAGCTCTGGACCCACCACGAAGGCCCTCGCTGGGGTGGAGTCGATGTGGGAACGTCTATATTCGCTCCCGCTTAAGATGCAGGATCTAGTAATCGCGACAATAAAGACCATACGGGAGTAGCACTAGGTGCCGGGAATATGGCACCGGCGGTCGTTTCGAATCCGTCGAAAGCGACAAAGACAGCTGAATAGCTGATATAAGCGGATTAAACGCATCGCGGGCTTGCCGCGGTATTCCAGCGCTTGCTGTTTGCGTCAAGCGACCCGGCTCTTGGTACGGCGTAGTCGTTCGCCCTGCTTTTCGCTAAACCAGGGCAACGACAGCCCGGGAAATGAGATCATTTCTGGAGTAGGAAATTCGGCTCGAGACCCGGGTCGCAGTACTTGCTGAAACTTCTGCAGCGTTGACGACAAAATGATCCACCTGATGTATGCATATAATGTGATCAAATGAGTTGCTAAAAGAGTCGTGTTCTAGTTCTGGCGGAAGCGGTGGATTGTCTGAAGCGTCCGTATCTCATCGTCGATGTGATTATCTTGTCCAAAACTGGTGAAGCATGCATATGGTCTGGATCAAGAAATCCTCGATCTTGAGGCCGTAGGAAAAGAAGTCATCTGGTATCGTTATGCAACTCAGCTTTCTTAATGCTGAGGAATTATCCAACTCAAGCACACATACCTACACTCTGGCCAAAGTCTGCTTATCCATAAGTGAGGAAACTATCAAACACTGATATTATATACCGAACTCGAGTGCCGTTTTGAAAGCTCAGTGCGTCGTATACTCCAAGCAAAGTGCTCGGGAGGCTGCATTAGCTCAAGGCAAGTGACAGGATCCGTGAACTGGGATTAAACCCAACTACCGATGTCAAGCGGCGGGTCACAAAGCGCTAAGATACCTGCAGTCGGGAGTTTTAAGCCCTGTCAGTTTGAGAATCGTTCGACTTATCAGCTCAGCAATGGCGCCATGTAATCCGCTGATGCTTGAGGGCCATCAGCGGTGCCACGCTACCGTATGCGAAGGCAGACCGTTATATTTCCGAAGAATGCACTGGGGTATTGGACGTCGTGACGGGCGATCGACGCGCACGGATGAGAGCCCTGTAGAAGTGGCTGAGGTGTCCTGGTGGGCTAGTCTGTCGACACCTCGACCTTGTCGATCCGTTTCCAGTTATCGTAAGCGAGAGAAGTCCACATTAACAAAGTCTTGCGGTCGATAAAGATGTCGAAGTCGAGGTGCGATAGCTCTAAACAGGATCGTAAGGCCTCAGTGAGTGTGTGCGTAATCTTTGGGTAAGCGATGAACCAGGCTTCGATATGCATCCATGCAGGCTGCAACAAGCGCAGCTTACCCTTCAGCGTTGTCAACTGTTAGCGGATCGTCGTCTGTGTGTATACGTTGTGCTCAGATGCATGAAGTAAATGCATACACACAGGATGTATGCTGACATTTTGCAACGGATACATACCGCCAACTTTCGGACAGCGATCATCCAGGGCCACAACTACTCACAGATATTTTTACAGTAGCCATGTTCAGATATGAACAAAGTTTGGCATTTTTCTCTAGGTGGAATTAACAAATTCTAGAGAAAGCTGTTGAATGGATTGAATGAAAATTTCAGGAAGATGCCTTGTCGGTACTTGAGATGGTCAGTACATGCCGGAGTCATTTTGAGTGGCTCGCCATGGTATAACCCTGCTTTAGCAACTGACTAGGCAAATACGTTGTCAATAAAGGTAACGAGGCGGCGCAGCGCGTGTACCAAATGGTGAATGCCATCGCCGATTGTTTGTCAGAGGCCAGATGCGATGCGCTGGCTCTGCGCTGTACGCAACTCTAACCTCACCTGACAATACTGACTCTGAGCTTTCCGAGCTAGGAATCGGCAGTGTTCTAGGGGGAACTGGTGTTTATCGGGATTAATGTGCCCGGTCGCTTCGCTTGCAGGATGTTGACCGATGACGAGAGTGGCCCTGAAATCGAAAGTCGTTCCCGAGGCCCGCTACCTAATACGCAAGAGCGGGTCTAGCGGCTTTGAGTCTAGCGGCATCATGACGCACGTGCAAACCAGCTGGCACCAGCAAACACAATTTGACAGCCTTGCTAGCATCCACAAACATCGGATGACGCAGCTCGACCGGCAGCTTCTCCCAGTGTCGCTGAAGATACCAATCGGCAGGCGTTACGCAGGCAGAACAACGAGAAAGCTGTGGGAGAAAAGAAAACCGGATGCGACAGCCTTGGCCTAGGGGCACGGCCATAACCGGATTGACTCGATGGCTTGCATTGCATGCACCGCCGCTGGGAAAGAAACCCGTTCCCGCGAGCTCGCCTTTGCTTTGCGGTAAGTGGCCGCAACCTGTGATCGAATGGGTCGACAACAATATTCGGACACCTTGCACGCCTAGACACGCGAGCCACTCAACGCTGACCCCGTACCTTTGTCGCTAGCATTGTCGATCATGGCGATGGGGGCGGTGTCCATGGCACGCCCCTGCCACCTCGACTGTGTATGCCGTAGAGGCAGTCACCATTCTTCCATAGGTAGGTACTTTGGAATTTTCCTTCGCCCGAACAGCTTACAACGTCCTTTTGAACGATCTTCTCCGCGGTCTCTCTTTCGGTCAGCGTCTTGCATGTAATCCGACAAGCACCTAGGTATATGTATCTGACCCCAAAACACTCCATTCGGGAGACTTAGACAGCCGCATACTTGCGTGACCCTGATTGGGCGTCCACCTTACATCCCCCACTGGCCGACCGGCCCATCAAAGTCTCCCGCCATCCGAGGACCCTGCCGCGCTACCCACCTGACTGCATATCAGAAGCGGCGTGTTGGTCCCACCTGAAACGTATCCCTGTGATTCACGCCTGCAAGGGTCATACATGTATATCAGAGTTCGCTTCCTTGCCGTACACATTTGGTTCTTTTCATATACATGTCTCTCCAGTCTCAAGTCCTTACACTTGAATGCCAACTTTCGCGAAGCCTCCACAACCCAGTCTCTCAGTTTACTCCTTACTTTTCAATCCTAATCAAGATCAAACATGTCGTTTACCTTCCAAGTGCAGAAGATCAATCAGTCTTTCGACCAGATTGCAGCATGGTAGTAAGCATAGCGCACTCCGCATCCTAGTCAAGCATTGAAGCTTATCAGTGGTAGCCACGAGTTCATGCGTAGAACAGAGTTGTGTTTTAGGAAGATGCACGAACGTATTCTGGTCCTGGAGCAGAAACAGAACATACAAGGGCCTACGGACGAGCAAGTCGAGCGTGTGCTACGCAAGATCCTAGACGAAAGGTTTTCGGATCTCGCAACGCATCATGTCCGGAAGCACGACACTACACAAGACCGCAGTTGGTTCGTCAAAGATCCCAACGACCTTCCTTATCCCAGATCGATCAAGATGGACGTTGCTTCGCTCCTCATCCAACCGGACGCTGTCCCTTCCAAGGCCTACACAGAAACATTCCGGATGCTAGAGAATGGGTTAAGAAGTTTTCCTGTCGACCACTCAATGGACTCGGACGACGAAGAAGATTATAAAATTAACGTTGGTATAAGAGATGGTCGCTCTTCACGTAGTGTCTGAGTTGCAGAAGGCTCCGTTTCGGCATGAGCCCACACTATCTCTACTTCCAGCACACTTGTCAAAGATCTTCGCTTCACGGCCTTGACCCTCAGATGGTGCCGCCATTCGATCCGATCGTCATTCGATATCGCTAGGCAACAAACGCTAGACAGCACACCGGCCGGATTTGACGAAACTGGCACTATGGTGCTACCACGCTGTATCCATACCCCGAATACATCACATACTCCAAGCAACGCCAATGTTGCCACCAGCGCTTTGTCGCGAGCCGGAAACAACGAGCACGCGCTTCCTCTTACAAACCCATGATTGGAATTGCGCAATAAACGCCTCGATCTCACTTGCAGCCAACCCGCTGCAGTACACATTGTCCAGCATGTAATACCTCCTGAAGTAGTAATTTATTAAACAGTCCAACTCTCATACTTTTTCCACTCCACGTACTGTCTGTCGGAAATCGCGATCATGTTGCTTTTGTAAGCTCTGCACGACACGGATGTGAGCGTTCAGCTATGCGTTTCAATCGCACTCAGCTCCTACCGCTCCTACCCCTTCTCTTGGCGACCTTGGACGCCTGTTTTACCTATCAACGTGTAACGAACTGCGATGTCAGATATGGGAAATTGCACGATCCAGCAAGAACCAAGAGAGATCCAGCATCGTGGTCTCGAATGCAGCTGCTTGGTCATCCAATGTCGTCGGATTTGTTCGGCATGCCCACACTCTCATAGATAGGTAGGACGATGGGCTCGTTGCACAACTTGTTCTCACCAGTAAGGGGCGCATAACGCTACAAACCATGAAATCATAACCTATGCATGCACAACTGACCCGGAAATTGGGTCATTCCATGCCACTCTCTTGGCAACAGCCACTCCCGCTACAGCGGGATGATCACGCCGACGGCGCAGTCAACATATGAGTGTCATGAGTTGTCGCATCCTCCATCAAACAGTCAGGAGTTTGGTCGCGTTGCCGGTGGTACTACTAGAATGGGCGCTTAGATTAGCGTGGGGGGTGTTTCCGATCTCGTCTTAGGACCCACATGTCAGACCTCATCCCATCTACCGCACATCCACCCTTGTGTATGCAACCATCCCGAGGTCTTCTTTGCTTTTTTAGCGACTGCAGCATCCTACTCTGATCTCGTCGCGGCTGGTGGCACGCGCGGCTCGAGACGGATAATTTACTAGACTGGGCACCTTCGTTGGTAGCCCATGTGGAGAAGTGTGAACGCCGCCCCGCTGAATGAGGCGCCCCACGTCAGGAGCCCTGGAGGCATGGAAACGCAATGGTATTGTCAACATATGTACATTCTCTTTCGTCGGAATTGCCACGAGGAAAGTTTCCTTCTTGTCCTGATGCAAGCCTAGGTATTCAGGTTCTTTCGCTGTCCACATGTCAACGACTGCCTAACCCATGCAGCCCTGAAGCTGCGCGACCACAGTTCAAGGTTCCGCGATGTTCCATCCTACAGAGGGGCTGCATGCCTTCCTTTGCTTTTGACTCGGGTCTCCGTTCAGCGCCCTACGAGTCTAGCCTGCCCTCGTTGCAACGATGCTCGATACGACGCGTACATGAAGCGAAACCATAGCTGGCGGTCCGCGGATGACGATGTCATGTTTTGTTCGATTCAAGAACCGCAGCATCTTGGGATTCTTGCTTCAATCGCAGACTAATGGTCGTTTCTCAAATGCGAAGATGCGTAGATAGTCGTGGGTTATCACTAGATGCCCACAGAGCTGAGAACTATTAGAGTACCTCTACGTCTAATCGTCAAGCAGGCTCATACATTTGGTCTCCATGTGGCACATACAGGGTAGGTATAGATATTTGGAATGTCGGCGTCTCCACTCCAATAGCACGCTGTACTATCCTGCAGTGCGCGCTAACGCATGCCAATCTCGCCTTACTACGGTCGTCCAACGGCTGCCAAAAGCATCCATGGATACCTAGCAATTCGGCAATCCTTCCCTGTCGCATGGAGGAACGTCGATTCGAAAAAGCATTGCTTCACACGGGACGAGACCCGGGTCGAAAAATGACACGATGGGGAGTGTATCGAGGAAAACATGACGTTCCCACAGTCATAGCTTCGGATCGTGGCTACGTTACTGTGGGGTATCTAGCGCCACGCTCTGATTTATGTGGCTGACATTGGGCATCAACAACGGTAGATATCACTGTCAAATTCCGAACCAATCGCACTATTGCCCACAAATTCGTGGTAAAAGCTCCGAAGAGCGGTCTGCTTCGACCCGCGGTGGAAGGTCTGGTACACACTATTTCTTTTCCTTACTCTGACAAGGAGCGTATAGCAAGAAACACACATTGTCGATTCAAAGCTTAGGGCCTCCGTCACCGACTTTTGCGCAAGCTTACTGTCCACCTGCAGAATCCTGGAATCCAGATCTCGATTCGTGCCGCCTGAGCTCTATCCGATTGCCGACCCAATGCGGTTGCGTTGCACATCCGGGGCCGAAGATACGGCCCATGTCACGAAATTCCCACAGCATTCAACATGCGCTGGAATATAACCGACATATTGAGTCAACCTATAGCATCTAGCTAGGCGGTCTCGCAAATGCGCATGCGTTATAGAGGCATCGAGGCTTAGACGCCGCACGTCACACCTGGGCAGTAATGCCACATTTTGGAATGGCCACCGTGCTGGAAGCGGCTTATTTGCCTGCTAACATTCTGTGCAGACAATAGATGTCGGTACGAGATCGTGTTGCTGCGCGGAGGTCACTGCTATGTTCGGGTAGACCATGCCACTGGTCGCGTTGCTTCCGCGGTGTACAAGGAGCAGCACAAGCGGGCTGAAACTGTGTACCCGTACCGTACCGCGCGGGTATACTAAGACCAAGCACGTGGGTCGGCCAGGGTAAGCGGATTATCACTTCGTACAAGCCACCACGTTGCTGATAGATCGGGCAAAAAAGCAATATCAAATGTCAGCCCGAGCCCTGGTTACGCCCCTCCACATGGATGAGCAAAAAGCAAGTCGAATCTCGATCCGATTTCCCTGACGAAGCTCGGCGTTCTTGTCCGGCAGCCATTGTATATGTTCATTGGAGGGTGAATTCAGGCACCAAGATTTGTTGTGGAAGAGCCAAACTAGCTTGTTAAGGTATACGATGCGTCGTCGTTGCATGCAGCTAAACTTGTGCTTGGACTGGTAGTGTACTGAGCGACTCAGGTCTGTTGAACTTTATTCCTCTGGCTTGGTAGATGTAAGATCAGTGCAAATGGGAGAAGAGGATAAGGGAAGTGGTGTTGTGAATCGAGTTGAGGTGTCCCATGATAGACGCTTCCTTCCACAAGTACCTCGATACTGAACAGATCTAACGCGCGTTAGCAACTGCTTCGAGGATACTATCCCAAGATACACGTACTGCGGTACGGCAATAGTGGGCACCTTTTGTTTCTCTGACTCAAGTGATTCCGGCGGCTACTCTCTCTTGTAAAAAAGCTCAAGAGTGTGGATAATTAAAGCAAAGGGAATGAAGACGTGTATAGTAACTTCCAGGCGCCAAAATGTAAAAACCGACCGTTCTTGATAATCTGAAATACGTGCACATGATAGTATGTCGATTATGAGGACGGGTGATAATAGACTAGCTGTCTAAGAGACTTGCTCCCGTTCTGCGACATCAGAATGATATGATACTGAAGCCATTCGCAGCGATATTTCACTAGATCTAGACAATGCGTTATAGTTGAAAGCTTGTCATTTAGTAACCTGACGCATTCTTCACTATCGCACAGCGACTGATAGTAAGTGAGCTGTAGACATCTAATCATTCGAGATACCCTGATCACTACAGCGGATATGCCTCAATCGCGGTCCAAGTCGTTGCTAGCACGGACAAAATGACCTGAGAAAGGTGAGAGTTCTTATTTTATACTGTGTCAAACTTTTCGCTACGCATACGTTGTCCAATCTTGAAAATACTTCTCAAGCGGTAACCCCCAAGATCTGTCCCCTCAAAACTCGGTAACGAAGTCGCGATGTCCATCTCTATGCCACTTTTGTTTGCTCTCGCTCCTCCAAGAACGCAACATCATATCCACATGACACTGATATCTGATCATGTGTTGTCGCATGCTGCGCATGTGCATTTGTCATTAAACCATTCACCCTCGTATATAAAGAGTCATCTCATTCTCCTCTAGAAGTTGCGCTCGGTCACCCACCGCGATTTCCCACTCTGGACTTGGGCACCTTCCCGTGGTAGCGCAGTGTCGCAGTCCGGCCAATCAAGCGAGCAGCATTCCCGATTTCACCATGTTCTATTCACGTGCTCCAACCATGCTGCGGCGACCACTGAGCACGTCCTGCAAACGGACGAAGACGCATTCACTTCATCGTTTGTGTCGCACCTTCACCGTGAGCGCCTTCCTATCTATATAGCAAACACTCTTATCAGCCCTATCAGGGCTGCTCGACCCCAATCTCGCGTCACCTTCGACTGGGACCGCAACAATCTCGAGACCGGCCATAACAAAATTTTCCACTCACCTGCCTTCGACCACTTACACCTACTACCAACAATCAACAACCATACATCCGCGCATCGCGACCATGGCCGAACTCAAGGACAACCTAGGTCCCTACGTCCTCGAGACAGCGCTCGCTGCTGATCGCGCTGACGACTCCTGCTACGTACTCAATGTCGGTCGCGACGAGAATGGCAATGTCACTTCGTCCCTCAAGCACGTCAATGCGCAAGTAGACAATTATCTCATCAATGTCTATGATCGCCTTGTTCCAGTCACCAAGCTCTACGTCATTGGCGAGTGGAAGTCGGCTCGAGCGAAGAAAGATAGCGAACAAGCCAGTGCGCCCGAGGAGCAAAAGCGCTATGCAAACGAAGTAAGAGGAGTCGGCAATGATGGCGGCGATGAAGCTAACTTCATCACAGCCGCACTGGTCCACCAAGTCCGAGCAGAACTGGCACGATGCAGGCGAGCAAATCGCGAAGCTCGTTGAACAG